CCATCCAATCATCCATCCAACCATCCCATCATCCATCAATCCAACTATCCATCCAACCATCCATCCAACCATCCATTCATCCATCCATTGACATGTACAAAGATATTGTCTCCTATGGGCAGAGCAGCCATCTACTGGAACAGACATTTCAGTGATGTAAAATATCTAACTTGGCTTTTAAAGCCAAACCAGTCATTTCAAAATTACAAAACTAAAAACCATAATATGTACACATAATCAAAACGCAGCTCATTATTTGGTGGGTTTCTTGAAACTTAATTTGAAGTGTAGTTTTTATGCATACATCAAACTTTACGCTGCTCAGTCAGATGTTATAACATTTTCCAATTAGGTTTTATATACCGGGTTTGACTGACATTTTTCCTTTTTATGAGCTGCAACAGTGAATGTATTTCCCATCTATCTGAAGCCCATCACAGCATGTTTCATTCTCCCCACAGACTAATAGCACTTGTTATTCCGCACCGCGGGTGTGTTCTTCAATCACTAGCAACAAAGAGAGTGAATCCCCCACCTATTTTTGTTCTCTCTGTAAATCAGGGTTCATTGCCATGCAGATTTGTTTTAACGTTGCATCACATACAGTCCGATTCTGCAGGTAAACACAGCGCATAAACCCTTATGAATCCTTCCTTGTATGTTTTATTTCTCTGCATAATCCCCCCTCTGTCACACACACACACACTCATAGAGAGTTTGATGGACTTAATTAAAGCAGATAATTATTCTCCCTCAGAGGACGGGCCACCTTCACAGACGTCCTTCGCCTCTCGATGACTCACCCTCCACATTCCTGTTCGTCTCCTGGATACAGTCTGAAACTAAACACTGAGACGGTGAGGGGTTTGTTGGGTCAATCCCTCATTTCCTTAGATGCTCCTTCTAACTGTCCAAATTTCCTTGGACTATTTTAAAACAGTTCCTCTTAAAGACTCGCTTATCTTCGGACTTTTGCTGCTTTTCTCTCATGTTGGTCCAGCGTCTGACCGCTTCCAGAGGGATATTATCATTTAAAAGTTATTCAAGCTAAACAGAGCTGATCTAAATGAGATATTTATGCT